AGAACAGAGGTCACAAGAGTGATAGTCAGAACAAAGGTACGGATTTAATAGGTGGCTCGTACGAATTATAGAGGTGGCTCCCACAATAGTGCAACACTTATATCTGCACAGCACTTTGCTTCACACAGAACAGAGTTCAATAGATCCATGACAACAGAGGGCCACAAGGTGACCAAACAGAGGCCAATTGTTGTTTAAGTCCTCCAAGGCATGAGACTCCCGTGGTGGTACTTACAAAACGTAATTGTATATAAAGTCATAGTCAAATAATCATTAAAAGTTAAACAAACATATCCATAGGTTTCATTTCAAGCAAATAGGGTTTAGAAAATAATCCACGTAATTGGAATATTAATATAATTTATAAAACATAAACTTATATGTAATAATTTATGGTAAGTCAAAACATACGCAAAATATATTATGATGACTCAAGGTATATTATAACTCACATTCATATTAATCCCTTACTGTTAGTTCTCCATTCACTCAATCTCTCAATTTTTAATCACTGTCCACACCTCCCGGACTCCCTTCTTCTTATTCGAAGCACCCTTTTATAGGTGCTTCCCTTCCCCTCTTCATTCCAATCCATTTATCCCCACTCCCCAAGCATCTTGATCTTCTTCATTTTTTTTTAATTTTTTTATTTTCTATATCCATAGGTTTATCTTCAATAATTATCTACTTAATTTTACATAGAATAATTACATAATAACTTATAAATTAAATTATGCTTCTCATATATCTATAACATTTAATATTTTATTTTACTCTTACAGAATATTTAATTAAACATTTAAGATTTTTTTTATTTATAATAAAATTTAAGGGACAACTTAAGTTTTCGAATTATTACAAGGGCAAACTTCCCCTTTTTTTCAAATATCAACCCAAGTTCCAAAATCAACAATTTTGACACAATACAACCTCATTTGCGAACTCCATAACCATTTATTTTCCATTCATCAAAAAACCCTATTTTTATTTCACACCCAAATCCTAGGTTTGTTCAAACTACTCTCAAATCCCACCATTGTTACATAACGACAAATAACTAAGCTAAAAATCATATAAAAGTGTAAAAAATCCCTACCTCAAGAAGAGAAGACGAGCAAAGCAAGGTTAAAGCTCCAAAGACATCGAAACACACTTTTGTTTAGATGAAAACAGAGCCCACGGCGTGCTCTACCTTTTTCTCAAAGGCATGCGGGTAAATAACTCAATGGATCTGGGTGAAATAAAAGAAAGAATATGAGTTTTAGAGAGAGAAACTCAAGATCTAGGTTTTTTTGAAGGTTTTAGAGAGAGAGGGGAGTGAAAAGGTGATGAAAAAGTCATTATCGCGATCTGTTATACACACAGTCCGCTGAGTGTGGAAAATAACGCTCGTGCGTCAGACATAATAGCCCTGTTTGGTAGAGCTGTGGGAAAGTACTTATAGCTTATGTCTAAACAGCTTATAGCTTATAACTTTCAGCTTAAGCTGATTTCCAGCTTATTCTTAAAGTATCTCCTGCCCCACTCAAAGAATAAGCTGATTTCTGACTTCCACAAAGCTATAAGCTATAAGTTATAAGCTAAACCAAACACATCAAAATAGCTTAAATTAAGCTGAAAGTTGAAATAAGCTGTAAATAATTTCTGCCAAACAGGCACAATGTTCTGCTCGAGCATAAGTGGTGACGCTTGAGCATCGAATATACTCTTTTAGCATTTGCAAGTCTGCAAAAAAAAATACTGTGAGTTTGCAAATCCCGCTTGAGTGCAAGAATAGCCACTCGAGCGAAGGAGTAAAAATCTGGACAACATAGGTTTGGAACTGTTCCAAACACACACCTACAATCTAAATGACTAATCGAAGGAGCAACAAGGGTAATAAGAGATGGACAACAACATTGAACCATAAAATCCAAGTCTAGAACATAATAAAATGTTGGATCAAAACCGGAGTCGCTATAGAAGAGATAAGAGAGAATCTCCTTTTGCTTTTGTTGAGGGAAACCATTATTGCTTTGAATTTAGCTTTGTTGGTGGAAAAAATGGAAAGGATTCACTTTATGAGTTGACACTTGATTACTTGAATCATAGGTGTGTTTTTCTTTGAAAATTATTGATATCAGAATCCATTTTATTAATACTATTGTCCTTGAATAGTTGTTTTGGATATTACAGGCGACAAAGATCACATGGATCATAAATTATTTAGGTTTACATTTTGACATGTGTTTGAAAAGTTGTCATCAAGGTTTTGATCAGTGGGAATTCTTGGGGAAAATGCTGGAGAAATTATTGGAGAGATTGTCGATTGCCTTGATTTGGTGAGAATTGGGGAATAGTTTCCAATACAATGTCCTCATCTGAGTCTGAGAGAGATTCTATTTCGACCATTTGGATCATTTTCATTTTAATAGTTTTTTTTGTATATATGTTCAAATTCTAGTTTGAAAATTAATGGATACTTGTCCTTATTTTTACTTTAGTTATGCTTCGAAGGCATCATAATCAAAGAACTTTGTGTTGGAACAATCTTCTGTGTAAATAAAATAACTATAAATAAATTCAAACAAAATAAATAAATAACATACCGGATTTATTTTGTCGAACCAAATAAAATTACAAGACCAAGTCGAGTGTATGACACTCTGTCCTTAAGACAGATTCGCCTCGCTATGGTACTTACGGATGAGTGGCGTCTATCTCCTAGGATACAATGATCTTCACAAATTGTAGTAGTACTCCAAACAATTTGTTCGGCGAACCAAACCCGTGTTCTAACTTTCTGAATATTTATTCCTAAAACTAAATATGAGGAATAATGCACTAAAAGAAATGGACAGCCAAGGGACCAAATATCAGACTGAATTTCGGATTGAACTTTTTATCTTTTTCCGGATGGATTTTTTTTTTTTTCATCCCTAAATGCTGGAACAAATGTGTATATATAGGCAAAATCAAAAGTCCCGAATAGGTGCCACCATTAAGTGAAAAGGTGCACCTCAATTTCAAACCATTCCACTGATGGTTAGCACTAAGAAAACCAATATAAAACAATTTGAAAAATTGACCGTTCAACCAATTGGAAATAGAGTGAACCGTTGGTGGAAAAGTCAAACTTGTGGGAACTAATTTATTTAAACTATTTGTAACTTATATAAATTAAACTATTGAATAATAAATATATATTAAACAAATTGAATAGTTTAATAAATAAAGTAAGAGGTATAAATTTTAAGAAACCACTTAGGAACTCAAAAATTTGAATTTAGAATTATATTAAATTCCCACAATAATTTTTATTGAAAAAATTCAAAAGAATTTTTATCAAAGAAATTAATGTTAAACCTGAAAACGACATCAACTTTCCATTCACTCATAAATGGTTTTGATGTTCCGTCTTCACCGTGTGACTTGCCACGCGGCAAGGAACACGTCACCTCTACGGACCCACCCCAAAAGACGTTTGGGGCCCACCCAAAATGGGCTCAAAATTATGCCTATATAAAACCATTTTCCAACACTTTGATGATTTGGGACTTGAGGAAAATATGGAAGGAGCAGGTTTAACAGAGACCATTTGTTTCTGTTGTTTGTAAAAAGTGGTTAATTGGTCAAGATATTGTTTCGCAGTAATTTTGTAATTTTTCCACCACTTAGAAACAATCTAGCAGGAAAGATATTGAATATTGTGTATAACGAAATTGTATACTGTCAAGCTGTGATCCATGGAAATTTGAAATCAATAACAAAGTATAGAAATTCAGGAAAAGGAGGATCAATCTATTTTCGATAAAGTTCAAGATTGATTTATGGAGTGGTTCCACAATAACAAGATCAAATATACACTATTGATTAAACTTGATGGGTCAAGTGCGGTTGCACTGTGTCGTAAACTTTTATGCCAAATAATGATTCTAAGAGATAGATGTTTAGTTCAAAAGGTGGCAATATGAATTTAAATGATTTAAATTAAAAGTTATAAAAATGTTGGTATAATAAGATCAGTAAGGACATCTCTCGTTCAATTGTTTATTTTGCAAGTAAAATTGATCTCTTTTAATTTTTAGATCGTTTTATAATCATATTATCAATTTGAATTTATTAGAGTGCGATTTAGGTGATGATAACGACTCAATTTACCAATATCACGTTTACATTTTTAAAATAAAAATCACTTTGCTTGATTTTTGGTTTTCAAAAAACACTTTTTAAATTTTATTTTATTTTTATTTTTTGTATTTTTTTCATTGATTTTTTTTAATATTTTAAGTAATTTTAAAAATTTTTAGACACATGTGACATAAATACAAGCTTTGTCATGTCATGTTCCTTCACTAACCAGGTGCTTGCTTTGACGGAGCTTTGGAAGGAGAAAGGGTGGAAAGTGTGGGAAGAAAGAAGTTTATTTGCTGCCTAAGCATTTGGATGCGAAGGTTGCTAGGCTTCACATTGACAAGTTAGGAGGGAAGCTTACAAAGCTCACTCCAAAGCAAGCTGCTTACATTGGTGTTCCTGTTGAGGAACCTTACAAGCCGTCTCATTATAGATATTGAGAGAGAGAGAGAGAGAGAGAGGGATTTTATGGTATTTGAAACTAGAAAAATAATTTAGAGCACTAAAAGAAGAGCACTAAAGGAGTATTAAATTGTCTTTTTTCTCTTTGTGTTTTGTTTTTTACTTTTTTTTTTTTTATTTTAATTTTTTTTTAGACATGTCACCTCATTAGAGTTGTTTTTAATGGACTTCTTTTAGTGATACGTATCATAGTTGATGTTCCGAAACGCACGAGTGTAAACCAAAGGCGCCAATCTGAAAATTATCAAAAACGTTCCCTCCATCGCCACCACAGCCAAAAAGCTTAACACATCTCAACCATTAATCCACTTCTTCGTACCAACCTCTTAATCCAACAGTCCATATCAATTACACGTCATGAATCCGCGGTAAACCTCACTACCCAATAAAACTCATTCGATCCCCTATATATATAAACTCCATCTCTACCCTTATCTCTCACAGTACCTCTTAGAAATCCATCTAGATCTCTCGATTCCAAACCCTAGCTTTCTCTCTCTACTCTCTCTCTAGTAATTCTAATGGCGCCAAAGGCTGAGAAGAAGCCCGCCGAGAAGAAGCCAGCGGAGGAGAAGAAGAGCACCGTCGCCGAGAAGGCACCGGCGGAGAAGAAGCCGAAGGCCGGGAAGAAGCTGCCGAAGGAGGGCGGAGCAGCCGCCGGAGACAAGAAGAAGAAGAGGACGAAGAAGAGCGTTGAGACTTACAAGATCTACATCTTCAAGGTGTTGAAGCAGGTTCATCCGGACATCGGGATCTCGAGCAAGGCCATGGGGATCATGAACAGCTTCATCAACGACATCTTCGAGAAGCTCGCTCAGGAAGCCTCGAGGCTCGCTAGGTATAACAAGAAGCCTACCATTACCTCTCGGGAGATCCAGACTGCGGTGAGGTTGGTGTTGCCTGGTGAATTGGCCAAGCACGCGGTGTCTGAGGGTACGAAGGCCGTGACTAAATTTACCAGTTCTTGAATTTTGGGGATTGGGGCGGTTTTCTACGGTTTGTTGAAATTTGGTAATAGAAATTAGGGTTAGGGTTTTGTTTTAGTACTCCTTATCTGCTATTGTTATGATGTCTTTTGGTTTTCAATCAAATGGTTATGTGTAAAGTATTGGTGCTGCATTCAGGAATGAAAATGCTTTTACTTTATGTTGTCTTTGTTTCTCTTTGTATCAACGTCGTTGGCTTTATAATTCAATGTTTCTTGTTTGGAAAAATTACTGATTTTGGGGAAATAATTCAGGTTGAATAGAGTGAAGTTTGTATAAGAAATTGTTAGGTTTATGTTTCAGTTCTTCAAAACCCACTCCTTCAAATTATGTGAACGTGTAGGAAAGATGTGATCTTGAAGTGAAGAAGCAAAAGTGATTTTGTAATGGAGATGATATTGTGGTTGCTCTTGTTGGTTTAAAATGCTAAAATATCTCACCCAAGGGTTGTATATATATATATATATATATTCTTTCATTACATGTGTATTAAGTTTCATGCATAGTCAACATAGAAAGATGCCTTTGGTTTTACCTTCCACCATAACAAGTGTATGCCTGGTAAATATTAGCCAAGCAGGCCAAGTACTTTAAACACTGCGTTGTTATTCTGCCAATATTTATAGGTTTTGGAGACACTTTCCGTTCTGATTGGCTAGAGCAGTTAGTTTGCTATGCTGGATAGCTTCTGTCCAGAGGTGAGATTTGAAATCTTCCATGGAGCTATATATCTTTGGCTCCAGGACCTGGATTGGCCTCCCCATTGAGTCTCTGCATGGCATGGAATTGAAGTATTCATAACCCAGCTGAGCTAGGGTTTCGTTAACTAATAATGGGTTTATGACCGATGAAGCAACCTGGTAGACAGTACTACTTTCTGATTTTCCAACAGCTCCATGCTTTGCTGTGGCTGCCAAGATTGCATTGACAACGAAGTCAGCTGGCACCTGCAAACAAGTCAACTTTTAGAGAGGTACAACTATTCCTAATTAGTAGACCTTTTTGGTTGTAATTTTTTTTTTCTTTCAATTTTTTCTTATTTTGGGGTTTCTGGAAACAAAACAATGAAAAGTTTGAAAACACTCGTTTTTATATTTTTGGGAAAACGAATTTTGAAAATTCAACAACAACGTTTTGGTATTTTTTAAAAGGTGGTTGGGTTGAGAAGAATGTCTCAAAAACTGTTTTTGGAAACAATTTGCCAAATAAGTTTCTTTGTTTTCCATAAAATGAAAGCAGAAAACGAAAACACAACCTTCTCCTGAAACCTGTTTCTCTTTAATTACATGGAAAATTGATGCCTAACCTGCTAACCATGTAGCCTTTTTTACCTTCTAAAGTTCTGTTAACATTAGGGATCCCACTTACCGCATCAAGGACACCGTTTGGATCTCCTGGAAAACCACTGAGCTGCCCTTTACCGTATAACTGCATCAGTGGATCAGCTATCCTGGAGGAAGAAAAAAAGAAAGATTATAAAATTTATGCTAAGCCATCATTATATAGATGGTATGACATTACCTATTTCCTTCTATCCATCTGGGGAATGGTTCTTTGTCAGTGCTCCCAATATCACCTGGTCGAATTATAACCAATGGTATGTCTCCTCTCGTATCATCAATCAACATTTCTCCCATAGCCTTTGTGAACAAATATGTGTTCTGCCATCCATACTTTTTTGCCCTGATCAATTGATTGAGAATTTCAAAAACTCCTAAATTAGTACTTGTTTTGTTTTTATTCTCCTTTTTTATTTGTTTTTGTTTTTGTCTTTGTTTTTGTTTTTAAATACCCTGAGGGAAAAACAGAAATTGTTGTTTCTTAGAAGAAACAGGGGAAAGAAAATTTTTTCATCCACTTTGCGGGTGGATGTATTGTTGTTTTCAGATTCTAATTTGTTTTGATCAATCTTTCTCTGCAACGAAAAGATGCACTAATGAAAGAATGAATACAGAAGCATTCCACCTCTCCATTCCCGGTTCTTTCATTTTTGGAGTTATTGCTTTGTCTTCTAAACATTTTTTTGAATTCAACGCCAGCTTCATTTCATTTTCAACATCCACTGCAGAGGTGGAACTCTCTTCTGCTATGCGATCTCCGATGCACATTGGTTTTTCCATGATTCGACCTTGTCTTTCTCCGTTAACATAAGCTGTATGTGAAAAAACATTAAAGTCCGTCTAAAATTTTGAAACACAATATTTACTACTGCAATTTAACTTTTTGTTCTGTTCAGGCTCTCTGTACTATGGTGTTCGGTGTATATAGCCTTTTCTGGTTGATGTTTGCTGGAAGTGAAAATTCTAAAGAAGAGAAAAGCTATGGCCAGCAGCGATGAAAAAAGCTATGGTCGGCAGTGATGCACTAAAGGTACTTTGAAATTGGAACGAAATGTGTCTTTTTTGCTCTTTGGCTTCATTTTGCAAGATCAGCATTTCCCAAAAAGCACAATGATTGCCCATCCCTGTTTAATTACCTGTTGACACATGCAAAAATAACTTTATTTTCTTGCATTTTTTGGCAAAGCTCATTAAGTTACTAGGTCCCTTTGTGTTTATGTCGAGCAACATCATATCTGCAAATCATATTTTCAAGATAATATTAGCTGATTTCTTGAAAATAGTTGGAAGTTGTCACAATTTAGTTAATGTAGATATACGAATAATGAAGGAGAAAAAAGGCAATAACCTTTCATCGAAGTTCGTATTAGCAGCAGAGTTAATAATCACATCAACTTCATTTTTGATTGCATCAGCTACATCTTCTAATGCAGGATTATCTTTGCAAACATTTCCTACCACAGGAACCAACTTGCTCGGCATGAAATCTTGATAGGATTCTCCATAGGTTTGTTGGAGACGCTTGAAAAGCTCTGTATTTATGATTTGTAACACCATCATAAATGATAAACATTTTTTTAATTAATAAATTAGATTGAAAAGTGATTGACAAATGTAGTGAAAAATTACCTCATCTTTCAATCTTTCTGTGGCTGCTTCCTTGTTTTCTGCCTTGATTGTGAGATATATTCTGTCCACATCAGACACTGTCCTCAGAATCTTCTCGAGGAGTACTGAAAATGTAGAACATCTAGAAACCTTACTAAACATCTATGACTATTTGGTATTTTTTTTTTCATTTTCTTTGTTTACATTTTTCATGTTTTCAAAAACAAACAGTGTGAAGTTCAAAAAATCATTGTTTTCATTTTGTTGCAATAACAGGTTTCGGAAACAGTTTTACCAAAAAAAGCGTGTTATCCAAAAAAATGAAAACAGAAAACAAAACCGATTTCATCACATCAGTACCTTTTGCCAAGAACCCAGTTCCACCAGTAACAAGAAACTTCTTCTCTCTAAAGAATTTGACAATTCCTATTCCACTGCGCAGCTCCAATTCCTTTGCTGCAGACTCTGCCCGGTTCATCCCATTCGGAGACAAAACCGGGCGTCCTCCATAATCTAGAGGCGCAATGTGATCAGCGTGGCAATACAGAGCACTCTTCTTCCTGATCATCAAAAGGCATTGGCTATGCTCATCCCTCCATTTAATGAAATTTTCAGGTCGAATTGAGAAGAAGTTTAGGGGTAAAGCTCCCATCAGTGCCAAGAAAGAGTACACTAATGCTTTTTTGTTGTTGAAAATGGTGGGATTAAAATCATACAAAATCAATCACTCTGTTTGTTAACAGTTTTCATATTTCTCTGCAACAGAAAGACTAGCACATCTACCAGGTAAGCTCTATAAGAGATTTGAGTTTGTTGAGAAAGAAAGTAGTGAGAAAGTGAAAGAAGAGCTGGGTTGAGGTTTTGAAGGATGAAAAAAAATATGCACTCGTAATATCTATACTATTATATAAAATACACAATTTTTTGAAATTTTATCTGTTATGATTTTTTTATACCTAATTTAATATTTTCAAAATATAACTGCTTTAAACTTCATAATTGATCTTAATTATCACACATATACCTACACCTATAGTATATATATTCCATTGGATTATTGTGATTATTAGATCCAAAACCATGTGAAAATTGTGTGTATAGTAAGGAAGAGTACGGATTTTTTTCCATGAGTGGTTGCAGGCTCTCTTGGTTCGAGTGTTTGGACTAAATTACCAGTTTCATTTAAGGTAGCACATGTACAAAGTTAATGGTGACATTTCAAGCAATGCTTTTTATACTTATGGAGTAGAAGTTTCATTTCCCTAATGCTGTGTTTGGTTGAGGGATTTGAGGAAGAATTTGGAAAGGGAAATAGAAAAGGTAGGTGAAATGTGGAAAAAAATATACCTATATGTCACATAATTTCACACACTTTTTTCCTTTATCTTTTCAAATCTTTTCTCAAATCCCCCAACCAAACACAGCGTAAAAGAGAGTTTAAAAAAATATATTACTCGTATTTAATAGTTTTGTCGTTTCCCTGTGAGCAAGCAGGGTTGACCTCACTAAGAACGAGTTGGATTTGTCTAAAAGACAAGCCATGTCCACAAATAATGAGTTGCCTTATTATTGTCTTTTTAAAGTTTTTTTATTTAAATTTTTTTTTTCATTTAAAGTTAAAAAATGTTTACTGAAGACAAATATAAGTTGAAAAAATATACCAACTTATAAACTGCAATAAAATATTTTCTGCGGTGTTTTAATTAGGTTTAATGATTATTGATGTGTACAATTATTTTCAATTAGGTTACATAAATAGAAATTACAATTTTTAAGGATTTAGACCATATCCAGTAGTTACTCAAATCGATCATTAAATTTGAATTTGGTGAAAAATCACTCATTTTCCTATTCTAACGATTTCATTAAATAGGTATCAAATCTAAGATTTTACTTTTCTTTCATCAAACTGAAGACCAATGTACCTTTCATCAAATTACTGTTCATAGCCGTTTGATTTTCACTACTGGATGTCCCTGGATGACCACTTCAAGGTAAAAATTTGTGAAAAATTTAAAAACTTTCGTTAGAACATTTGATATCAAATAAAACTTTTACTCAATTTTTTATTTAAATTTGATGAAAAATTTGATATATCGTTAAAGATGCACTTAGTAGCAGAAATTTGATAATTTAGGGATGGAATAGAAAAAATGATAATAGTTCTGAGGATAAAAATGAAATTAACCGTTTATGTCATAATAAGTTAAGCAATAGGGTGCGCACGGCGCACCTTAACAAATGCTAACAACTAGGATTCGTTCCCGCCCTTGACAGTTATGGCAGTTAACTGAATTGAAGCTTCATTTTTGTCTGACGTTGTGTTTTGACAGTTTCTTTGATTGTCTCAGTAGTCAATGACTAATCCAGTTCAGAAATTGATACCCTCTCTCTTCTACAATCAAGAACACACATTCTCTCTCTCTCTCTCTCCGCGTTTCAAAGATCACCCATTTTCAAACCTTCTTGAACACCCATATTTCACCATCAGGAACCTGAGTTCATCATTCACTTTCTCCCTTAGTTCATCACATTTATGCTCTGTTTTCTGTACAGTCTGCATTAGATTGTTACAAGAACATAGCTCCCAAACAATTTTCTTGAAATTGATTGCTTTCTGAGAAAACAAAAAAAAAAAAAACCTTGGCTGCTTCAGAGTTCTTTGATTGATTGAAGTTACAACAATGGGGAGAGAGTTTCTTATCTACTTTGATCAAACTCCAGATAATCATTTCTACCTCTGCCGTATATGCCAAGCCCACATTGCTTTATCCAAAGATTTTATACATTGCATCACAGTAATCTCTCTCTCTCTCTCTCTGTGCAATTTTTAGTTACCATGCCAATCAGACCATCTCTGTAAAGTGCTTCTAAAGCCCATATAATATATTGCTTGTTGTTTATAATATGAAGTTCTTGATATATTTATTACACTTTTAAGCTTGAATCAGATTACATGGTAGAAGAAAGAAAAGAAAAAGAACAGAGCACTTTCATTTCGTCTTCTAAAAATTGTTAATTTAACATTTTATTTGTTATTTTCCGGTGTTGGAATTATGTCTCTGTGAATAAAGAATGCAACCATAGTTAAAATAAATCAATTTAGTGAACCCCACATCATATTTTGGAGTTTTAATAGACTTTTTTTAATTGTTCAAATTTACGGACTGTTGAAATTTTGGCCCCTACTTAGGATGGGTACTATTGATGATTTATAAACGAAAGATTGAATTGTGGAATGTCATAGGAATGAAACAAATTGGTGTGCTGAGTACACAAGTTTCGCTTGACAAGTCTTTCGCATTGTTTCTGACTGATAATAGCTTTTGTATATGTTCTTGATACACATATTTGGTGATTTGTCAAAAATAGAGAGGGATTAATTTTGTATTCTCACGATTGTACTCGATATGTTTTTTCAGGAGAATGAGCTGGCCGGAACCACCTTTGAAAAAGTGTAAGAACTCATCACTGTTGAAAGAAAGTAGTTGTGTTTGGATCTTTGAGTTTTTCACTTTTCTCTTTCCATGATCCAAACACAACATGAAAAAACTGAAGAAAAGGAAGTTCAAATTAATGCAATATAAGAGATCTTCTGATTAGATTGAAAAGCCAACAAAATCAATAGCCAATTTTAGGATGTGGACTACTATTTGAATCTCAGAGACCAATCTTATGATATTTTTCTTTAAAAAAACTACCATATGCAGTGCAAATGTGCACACTGATCAGGAGGAACGAATGGTTGGAGATCGCATAGTGGTTGACGTCTACTGTAACAAATGCTACACTCTTTTGGGCGTAAAAATCGTGAGACTAATCAAACTTTCCTGACTTCTGAGATTTCACTATATTGTATTACTGATCAAGTATTTCTAAGCAAACATGCTATAAAATTGTTTAGATTGAAAATGGAAACAATAGAGGCGCACTGAGAGTTGGAGATTTCCTACTACATCTGTAAGTTCTCTCTCTCTCTCTCTCTATATATATATATATGTACTTTGAGAGGTTTGTTATGCAAAATTATTTACAGGACCAAGCTCCAGAAGTGGAATGGAAATGAGATTGTTGATGCTGACGCTGTTGTTGATGCTAATGATAACGATGATGATGTTGTTGATGCTGCTGCCGCTGCTGTCGCTGCTGTTGTTGATGCAGCTGCCACTGCTGCCGCTGCTGCGGCTGACGCTGCTGCTGCCGCTTCCGCTGCTGCCGATGCCGCTGCTGCTGCCGCCGCTTCCGCTGCTGCTGTTGCCGCTGCTGCTGCCGCTTCCGCTGATGCCGTTGCCGCTGCTGATGCCGCTTCCACTGCTGCTGACGTGGCTGATGCTTATGCTAATGCTGCTGCTGCTGGTTATGCTAATGCTGAAGATTAATATGGTTACTACTAGTTCAGTTGTGTTTTGACAGTTTCTTTGATTGTCTCAGTAGTCAATGACTACTAGTGTGATATATATAGTTGTTGTGTCCTCTACGAGATTTACTAAAATGAAACAATGTAGGTAGTTTTTTTCAACACAGTTTCTGTTCCAGTGTTTCAAGACTTCTACAGAATCACAAACCAGTTTGTGGGTTTCTGTTTCGAATTATTTCTGTTTCTGTTTTTTCCAACAAAAGGAAGTAAGGTAGAAGAAAGACGAATATTAGCTTGCTTGCCTCAATAGTTCTTCTTATACAGAGTTTTCCAGAGGTACTTCTATCCTAAATACTTACTTTTATGGATTGTGAACACAAAAGTGTCTTCGCTGACAATCTTATTTCCTAAAACTAGAAGCAATTGAATTAATAGGGGATTTTTTTTTTAATCTTCCGGATTAGTAAAGGTAAATTGGTGTTTGGGGTTTGGAATTCACTATTTTATATCTTTGTCCCACCTTCTTATTGTCGACATGCCGTTAAATTTTGAAAATATTAATTATTAAAAACATATATAAATTGCATGAAATTCAAATTATGGTGACGTGGGAGCATTATAGTTAGGGTGGGAGAGAGAATTCGGAGAGAGAATATGGACAGAGGATCTAAAGTCAAGGTACGGAAACATTACATACCCTTTCATCCTTTTCTCCGTTCCTTGTTGCCAAAAAAATAAAATAAAATAATGACTAATAGAATATGACTCCAATGATAGTTAAAAGAAAAAATATTGGACCATATGTGAACATTAAATTCTACATCGAATAAAAAGGTAAATGGAGTAAGTCTTAACTAGTATTTTGAGTTAAATTTTATGTAGTTTTTAACTTGGTATGGAATGGGCCACTCAAAATAAAATTACAAGTGTAATTTGCCCTTCGTTATATTATGAGACCTTACATTTGATGACAAACCTAAAAAAATGTTGGGGGTTTAAATATCCACAGGTTCATAGCACTTTTTTGTAATTTATGTTAGCATATTTTCCTTTATGTTATGGGTACAATCTAAGCAATAGGGTGCGCACTGTGCACATTAACAACTAGGATCAGTTTTCCCGCCCTTGGCAGTTATGGCAGTTAACTGTATGGAAGCTTCTATTTGTGTGTGTGTGTGTGTGTGAGTGTGGGGGCATATTAAACCCAGTTCAGAACTTGCTACTCTCTCTTGCTCTCTCAACCTCAAAGATTAGCCATATTCAAATCTTCTTGAACACCCATGTTTTGCCGTAAAGAACCCGTGTTCATCATTCACTTTCTCCCTTAGTTCATCACATTTATGCTCTGTTTTTCTGTAGAGAGTCTACATTAGATCATCACAAGTACATATCCCCGAACAATTTTCTTGAAATTGCTTAACTTGGCTGCTTCAGAGTTCTTTGATTGATCAAGTTTACAACAATGTGAAGGGTCTATCTTACCGAATTTGATCAAACTCCAGATAATCATTTCTACCTCTGCCGTTTTTGTCAAGCCAACATTGCTCTATCCAGAGACTTTCACTATAACTTCACTGTAAAATCTCTCTCTCTCTCTCTCTCTCTCTCTCTGTATATATATCTACAATTTTCAGTTACCACGAGCCATTATTACTATCCCTGTACTCTAAAGTAAAGTACTTTAGTGCATATTTTTGCTACTGAATTGTTTCAGTTTTTATCATGATTTGATATTGTTTTTCATATACTATGTAGTTCCTGATATTCATTACCAATGTGTGTATAGCATATACTTGCAGAAGCAGATGTAGATAGCAAATACATGACATAAAAAAGAAAATAACAGAGCACTTTCATTTTTGTCTTATGAAAATTGTTAATTTGACATTTATTAGTTTCTGATGTTAGACTTAGAATTATGTCTCTTAAATAAAGAATACAACCTAGAGTTCAAAGAAATCAATTTAACTCCCTCCCACATCACATTTGGAGTTTTAATTGATTTATTTTTTTATAACTTTATTATATTGTTAATTGAGTAGTGTTTGCTTTCGGTGATAATGGTGGTATCCAATGCCCCTTTCTCTCTCTATAAAGAGAGCCTTCATCTCTTTGTAAATCACACAATATAATAAACACATTAATCTTACAATAGAAAAGAAAATAACAGAGCACTTTAATTATTTTATATTTTATATTATTGATTTTTTGCAAACAATATTTGTTGCATAGCACTGCAAATATCATTATTCCTTTTAGTCAACAAATGACTGTCTCTGCCGCTATTTAATTATTTGCTTCATGAAATTTTTTCAAGATTTCCATGCACAGTCCATGAAAATCCGTCACTAGCCTAAATAAATCAGAGCGGACCATCAGGTCGCAAAGCAATCCCTTTGGGCCCCTAAAATTAGACTGTTTAGGGCCCCAAAAATCCAATTTTTATACAAAATACTAGCTTAAAGCCCAAATTAAAGGTAAAGGCCCAAAAGAAAAAGAAAGAAAGCATCTAAGCAATTAAAGAAAGTCAAAAACGAATTATAAACTTGGTCCTTCAAAAATTTTTATTTACTGTAAATGAAATATATTTAAGTTTTAGATTAATTTTTTTATTTGAGACTTGTGATTTTCTGATTTTATTTATTCATCTTGTTTGTAATTTCAAATTTCATTAGATTTCATCCTCATAATGAAAAATATGAAATTTTTTTGTTTTGTTTTTTTTTTGTTTTTTTCAATTGTGTAAAATGGATTTTGCTAAACAATGAAGAAACAAAATTAAACTTTATTTTTTATGTCTTTGTAATGATTTCTCAAGATACATTATAAATATGAAAATTATAATAAATTGAACGTTTTAATATGAAACAAGTCTTCAACCGATAATCACAACTACACAACAAATTCAATAAAAATTTAAAATAAACACAAAAAAATATGAATAATATTTAATATCCAGAAATTTTATCTAAAATTTTATTTAACAATATCAATTTATGTCTTAAATGCTAAGGTTAATATGAAGAAAATCATTAAATGAGAAGAATCATCCATGTGTAACTGAAAAGATGCATTCACGTGTAAGAGGATCTTTATCAATTAGTTATTTTCATTATCGAAAATGATTCGTAGCTCGAATATTGCAGGTTCGAATGGCTCGAAAGTACAAATATACCACCTTCAACAAATTGACTCTCAGCCGTCTTACCTCGCTCGCCTCAGCCGTCTTACCTCTCTCGCCTCATCCCTCTGATTCAGTCACTCTTGCTTCATCTCTCTCCCCTCTCTGGCCTCATCCCTCTTATTCACTCACTCTCGCCTCTCTCCTCTCTATCTCTTCACTCTCGCCTCTCTCACCTGTCTCTTGAAGGAGTACGAAGGACGACAATACGGTGGACGAAGGACGATGAGACGGTGGACGAATGACGTGGGAGGACGACTGAGAACGACGAATGACGACGGAGGACGAACGACAGCCTGCGATATGAGGTAAACCTGAAATCATATTTGTTAGGGCTTATGTTTGGCTTTAATTTTTGTAGAAATTAGTCTATTTGAAGTGTTTGGGGTTGGATTTTGCTTGCAATTTGTGAGAGGGTTTGAGATTTGGCTTTAATTTGTGATGGGTTAGGGTTTGGGATTTTGCTTGTAATCTGTGTTAAGGTTAGGGCTATGGTTTTGCTTGAAATACACCTCTGTGATGAGTTTGGTCATGCAAAATATACCTGTCATCAACAATGAATTCTGTTATCAAGATTAACCTGGTTAACATGGTGGTGTGCCTAATTCAAGGTTGAACTCTGCTATGATTAACATTGGTTATGATTAAATTGTGAAGATTGATGGTGTGTCTAATTATGGAGTTAACCAAAATTGGTTAACATGGTGGAGTGCCTAATCTTCACACCACCATGGTGTGCATATAGAAAGGGATGATTAAATTGGTTATGATTCATCCCAGCTCAATTGCACATCAATTTAATTATAACCAATTGCATACCACCATGATAAACTGAGATGAATTTAATCATAACCAATTAATAGTTTATCATTCTTCTCAGCTGTCTAATCTTCACACCACCATGTTAACCAATTTATCCTCTTAAAAACAAACCTGTAGATTAGGCACACCACCATGGTGTGCCTATAAATTGGTTATGAAGATTGGTGGTTAACATTGTGAAGATTGGTGGTGTGCCTAATTATGAAGATTGAACATGTTAATTATAACCAATTTAATTCAAGATTGAACTCTGTTATGAAGATTAACCTGATTAATTCAACATATCAAGATAGAAAGTTATTGATGATGGCTTGAATGAGAAGTGTACACACAGGTTTGAACAAATTCACACAGGTTTCACTTATAAGATGCATACACACAGGTTTGAACAAATGTACATTGTTTTGGGTCTGTTTGAACACGGGTTTCACTCATGATATACAGGTCTCTATTGTTTTGGGTTTGTTTAAACAACTGACACAGGTTTGAACAAATTTACACAAATTCACACAGGTTTGAACAAAGTCACACAGGTTTTACTCATGACATGCATCTGTCTCCATTTTTTTGGGTCTGTTTGAACAAATTCACAGAGGCCTGTTTGATTCATCATCTTATAGTAATAGGTAGTTGAATCGTCATCTTCTACTAATAGGTAGAACAGCTTGGAAGATAAAAAAAATAGGAAGAACATCATCTTCTGCTAATAGGTAGTTGAATTTGTTGGTACTTTTTTTTGCAGATAAAAAAATGGCTTCATCTTCTACTAATAATAGGAACATAAGATTAAAGCCAAGATTGTGTAATTGTGGAAGAACAACTTCCATGCATATTGTACGAACCAATGAGAATGAGAATGAAAGACGTGTGTTTTTTGTTTGCCTAACAAAATATGTAAGTATCTGTTATGTAGATTAATCTTTTACTTCATTTGTCATTTATTCATTAACTGATTCTTGTGCATTGTAGAGCACGAACGAACACTGCAATTACTTCAGGTTCGCAGATGATGACGACGACGACGTTATCTCCACAATCCGTGCCAATGCTGGACCTCAGACAGATTCAAGAACAGAAGAAATTAATGATCTAGCGAGAAGGTTTGGTGAGATGGACAACCCAGTTCATGAGCATGACAGAAGGCTTCAAAGGATGGAGAAAATTTTGAAGGAAATGACTTATGTCATTGTATTTTGTGTATTTTTTTACTTTATCATGTAAATGAATCAGTTGTTAGGTTTTCGACAATGTCATGAATGTAATCAGTACTTCTTTTGTATGATATTTTGTATTTTGTAATTTGTAATCAATACTGCCTACCATCTTTATTTTGTATTTTATTTTATTTTGTATTTTGTATTTTGAAATGAATGTGAATGTATTTTATTTTACTTTATCATGTTATGAATGTGATTTGGATATCAATGTTTATAGATTCCGAAATCTGTTGGCTTCAATGAGAAGCATTGATAAACTAATAGAAAGTTATTGATGATGGCTTGAATGAGAAGTGTATACACAGGTTTGAACAAATTCACACAGGTTTCACTCATGAGATACATACACACAGGTTTGAACAAATTTACATTGTTTTGGGTCTGTTTGAACACAGGTTTCACTCATGATACACATGTCTCTATTGTTTTGTGTCTGTTTGAACTAAATTTACATGAACAACTTTACACACAGGTTTGAACAAATTTATAGGTCCATTTGAACAGGTTTGTTCATGATATACAGGTCTGTAATATACATGAACAAATTTACACACAGGTTTCACAGAGGTCTGTTTGAACAGGTTTCACTCACACATATTTGGACAAATTTGCACAAATTCACACAGGTTTGAACAAATTCACACAGGTTTCACTCATGACATGTATACGCACGGGTTTGAACAAATTTACATTGTTTTGGGTCTGTTTGAACACAGGTTTCAGTCATGATACACATGTCTCTATTGTTTTGTGTCTGTTTGAACTAAATTTACATGAACAAATTTACACACAGGTTTGAACAAATTTACAGGTCTGTTCATGATATACAGGTCTCTAATATACATGAACAAATTTACACACAGGTCTATTTGAACAAATTCACAGAGGCCTATTTGAAAAGGTTTCAGTTACACAGGTTTGAACAAATTCACACAGGTTTCATTCATGACATGCATCTGTCTCCATTTTTGTGGGTCTGTTTGAACATATTCAGTGAAATCTGTTTGAACAGGTTTCAGTCACATAGGTTTGAACAAATTCACACAGGTTTCACTCATGACATGCATCTGTCTCCATTTTTGTGCGTCTGTTTGAACATATTCAGTGAAATCTGTTTGAACAGGATTCAGTCACACAGGTTTGAACAAATTCACAGTGTAATTGAACCTGTCCAATTGAAGCTGTCTACTGAACAAAACAGACCCGCAAGAAATTTTAAGACCAGCAACAAAACAGACCAGTAATTGAACCTGTCTACTGAACAAATTTTAATAACACAGTCTAATTGAACACGGTCTAATTTAACCTGTCTAATTGAACCAAACAGACATTGATCAAAGGAGACATTGAACACAGTCTACTACATTATCACCCATAAAATATAATTATGAAAGGAGGTCGCAGTGTCAAAGGAGCCACAGTCTATTTTTCTGAGGAAACATTACAAATTACAAATCGTTCACGATTAACCAAAAACACAAAGGGCCACACAATGTGCAACAATTACAAGTGCAAAACTAAAAATAAAATGGGGCATTTGGATCCAATATTGTTGGTACTGCAGAACTTTGACTGCTTATATTGTTGACCATTCTTGATGTGTTTCCAATATTGTCCGGCGGTTCCATTGTGCAAACCCGTGCTTATAAAAACAAAGTACATATTACGTATTGCTTTAAAAAAATATTGACCAACACATTTATCATTACAAATGTGTACTCATATATTGAACACGTACCAATACAGACATGTTGTCTTCTGTGCCCACCATAGAAGAAAAATAGTAAGCTTGATCGTGCGGCACCTTATGATTATATAGTAAGACAATGTTATTAATAATTTGAAGCATTAACATAAAACCCAACAACAAGCAAAGTGGAATATTTTAAGTCCATTCAACACATACCGGTACATACATACTATCTTGTGTGCCAACCATAGAAGGAAAATAGTAAGCTTGATCTTCCGGCACCTATCATGAAATAGTAACACAATTTCATTACTAATTGTAACCATTCAACTATAAATCCACAAAAAGCTTACGAAACAGCCTATGCCAAGTATTTACCTGTGCGGGAGTAGTCTTCTTGTCCTTTCTCTTCAACCGATTAACTATTTGATCAACCTTGTTAACCTTCCGCTTCGTATATGGACGGCCTCTTCGGCGAGCAACCAAAGGACTGAGTACCTTGCGAGTGTTGCTTGCTTTTGTAGTATTCAGATGTGGCGGACTTTTCGGCGAAGTACTAGTAGAAGGTGGTACAGTACTAGTACATGGCACATTACTCGCAGTACCCGATTCAATAGTTTTCACTCAATCCTTGATTTCCCTCAACCCAAGTTGAATCACTTTGTGTTTACCATCGTCATTGGTGGCAAGTTCTAGGATCTCATCTAACGTCTTGTGATACGAATCATGCAACTTTGGATTTATAGCAGCCCCGAAGTTAGTATATGTGGTTGGAATGCATGTATACCCCTTTTCCAAATCTTTTCTCCATCTCGAGACAATGTATTTATTTGACACCTCATATATGGACCTCTTAATGAGCACACTAAGTGAATGGGCACACATAATACCTCTAAACTCAAACAACCGACACATACATTGGAGCTCACATTCAGTTGAATTACAGTACAAAATAAATTCTACTTTCTTCATATCCTTACCCAAAAGAATAGCCTCCCTCACATGATAGGTACAAATTGATCCCTCATCTTTTGCAAGATTCGGACGACAGTACACTAGACGTTTCATTTCTGCTTGAACTTCTTTAAATTTTGCATTTGTGTACGTTGCACGAAATTGCTTCTCAAAATGATACACCGTTAGGCAATCATACAATTGGTTACGAGATTTGAAATTTGCTTTTGTCTCCTTTTCCACCTTACTTCTCAAGGCATTTTCATATTGCTCAACAAATTGCTTTAAGGTAGTCTTCGAGTTCACATATCCATCAAAAAATGCATTCATACTCACACTTCTACCGGTAGTTGACATGCTAGCCCAAAATATGTCTTTCACATAGGCAGGAATCCACTTATATCACTTACGATATAATACCCCTAACCACTCGTTATCATTCACATTGAATTTTGTAACCATTGCAAGCCAATTTCCCTCAAATTCATCTTTCGTGAATGAATCATAAATAGCATTTTGCAAAGCAACCTTTATGCCTTCATATTGTGAATATCCTCTTAGTTTCTCCGAAATTTTCTTCATTACATGCCATAAGCACCAACGATGTCGAGCCTGTGGGAAAGCTATTTTTATGGCATTTTGCATAGCTTTACACTAGTCAGTTATTATTGCTTTTGAGGGAGCATCTGACATGCAACTTAACCATTCTTTGAATAGCCAAACAAATGTCTCAGTGTTCTCATTAGATAACAACCCACATCCAAACAAAATTGACTGTCCATGGTAATTAACTCCTACAAATGGAGCAAATGGCATATCATATTTGTTTGTCAAATAGGTTGTGTCAAATGAGACAACATCCCCAAATGCTTTATAAGCCGCCCTACTCCTCGCATTTGCCCAAAACAAGTTTCGCATGCCACAATCTTCATCAAGGTCAATTGCCGAATAGAAGTTCGAATTTTGTTGTTACATTTTATAGAAATAAAGTGTAACTGATTCGGCATCTCCTAGCCCAAGTCTCAATCTTCTAGCATTCTTAATATAATTCCTTGCATCTCGTTCATCAAACGTTAATGCCTCATATCCCCCTGCTTCAACAACCATTGAATGAAAATTCCTCGCCACCGCAATCCCTACTGTATCGTTCACTTCTAGTCTTCTTTTCACCGGAGTAAGAATCCTCTTATTCATTGTAAAATGCCGTGAGTCAGTAGGATTCAAATCATGAGTGTGCTCAAGCACAACTGTGGTTAACTTATATCTGCCATCGTCTTGTAGACTAGCTCTGACCCTTGCTTTACAATCAATTTTTGATGACAAAGATGGTTCCAAGGGATTTATTTCTGATCTTTTTGTTCTAAACCTCGCCCGAGTACATTCAATTCCAAAATACTTCACTTCCCCATCACTTGTTAGATTTTGTGATCTAAAAGTTATAGCAAATCCACAGTGCTTTGCATATTTTGCATAAAATGCGTACACTTCTTGTTTTGAGCTAAAATACATCCCCTTCTTAGGTTCTTCGACTTCACCATTTTCGTTAATATAAAGATTGTTATCCCGTTCTTCAACTTCCTCACTCCCATTTAATGAATTATTGTTTGAATCAATATCCATTGTAGCTTCAAAGTTAAATACAATAGACATTGTTAGCTGTAATTTCAAAGGAGGCAAGTAGAATGAATTTTAATTTGCATTTGCATTTGAAAAAAAGGGTCAAGTAAGGGCAGCCATGCCATGGATGAGTAGCCACATCTCAATATGCTAATTTTTTACATTCATCTTAACAATAATCTTATAACACTATTAATGATTAGTAATACTAATATCAGCTCAAAGTGCCTATATATATTACTAATATATAGACATGCTAACAGTGAGGAAATAGCAACTATTAACACATTATAAATTAACAAAGATTCAAAATACATATATGTTCCTTGACAGTGAGGAAATAGCAACTATTAACACATTACTTAATTGGCAAAAATGAGGTACAGTTTAATTTGGGTCTACTCAACCAAAAATGAGATACAATTCTACCCATCTCATTGATCCCACATATGTAACCCTCCTTTTACATTGCAGTGATATCAGTCTCTTGGAACTGTCCTTTAATTTCATCAATTTGGTTAACTTTCTTTTAACCATTTTAATCTCACTTTATAAAGCTTCCTATTTTACATTTGATCAATAAATCAAAGTTGATAGGACACAAAATCATGCTAAGGAGCCCCTAACATTCCATGTTTTGAATTCATATTTTATTATTGATGAATAAACCAAGAACAAATAGCAGTAGCGATTTGCACACAAGCTTCGTCCAAGAATTCATATTTTATTATTGATGAATATTTTAGTTTAGCTACCAACCATGGCAGCAACAATCACAGAGCAATGGAAGAGGAATGGCACAAGGGGAAATAAAACGCCACGAGGAAATACCTTATCCACAACAGAGTGAGTAGTCCGATTTTCACGTAAGCTTCGTCCTCTTCCACTCCGATCAAACAGCAGTAGCGACGCCACAAAGAGACGGTTCCGCTAAGTTACAAACAGACCGGTTCGAAGTCAGTGGAGACTCCGATTGCTCTGCGGCACACAAACTTTCTCCTCTCTCACTTCGATCAAACAGCAGCACCGACCAGACGGCTCTGCTAGGTTACGAGGACACGGTGCTTAGCTTTCTCTCTACAAGTTGCTCCGCTCTGTTCGTTTATTTTTTTATTTTTGTTTTTGAAATCAAAACAATTGTGGGTGTATCCCGCTTAGCAGACCAGCAAATTAATCAGTTCGAGCCACTCTCGAGCCTCGCCTTTCGAGCTACGTAGCGGAGTCGTTTCATTATTTAGTTAAAATAGTGAGCAAATCACTAAATTTCATTTTTATTAAATTAGTTATAAAATTAGTCATTTTAATTTTGATGATTTTAACTCAACAAATGTAATTAGTGGCTATACCTAGTCAAATATTAAAACATATTACTTTTCATATTTTAAAATTAATTGTGTTGAGTTTATAAAAAAAATAATTTTAAATTAAAATGAATAAAAATAATATTTAAATAATATAAAAAATAAAGAATTTATTAAACAATACAATTAAAAAGATGTATAATTAAAATAAAAAAAATAATTTTTAAATTAAAGTATAATAAAATTTTAACTAATTTGATAGAGGTGCTCGTGACAGAAGGTCGATGGGCTTATTAAGGCTTGGTTTGGGAAGTGGGTTGGCTTTTTGGCTTTTTGGCTTTTTTGGCTATTTTAGCCTGGGCTTAAAAGCTTGGTTTGGGAAGGGCTTTTTGGCTTTTTGGCTTTTTTGAGTTTTTTTGTGAGAGAAGAATGTAATGATTATGGGTTGGATGTGATGTTTTGTTTGTTATGGCTAAAATAGCCTATTTTGTTTTTTGTGGCTAAAATAGCCAAAAAAACCTCCAACCTCACTTGCCAAACAGAGGCTAAGGTTTTGTTTGGGATGTGGTTTGATTTTTTGATTATTTTAGTTTGGGATTAAAAAGTTTCGTTTTGAATAGATTTTTTAATTTTTTTAATTTATAGGAGATAAAAAATAAAATAATTATAATTTAGATGTGATATTTTTTTAAAAATTTATTTATTTATTTGTTGATTAAAATAACTAAAAAAACCTGACATGTCAAACAAAAGTTAAATGATGTAGGCCCTTGAATTAAAAAAAAAAAAAATTGTTATTGACTCAAACAAATTTTCTAGTGACAAGGATTGTGTTTGTCCCCATTATCACGGTATGAATTAGGTAGTCAACAATTGCTTAGGTGGTCCCGCCGTTATTTCCTCCTTGTTCAAAAAATATTAGGTAGTGTATTTACCAAAACAATAATGATTGTGATTTATTTTTATTTTTTTTTAGAGATTTTTATAATTTTTTTTGGATGTCTATTATGGATGGTATGGCCTCACATATATATAAATGGGTTTTACACATAGGTAGAGATCCAAACAAAGTTGTGAACGTCTTTAAAAAATAAAAATTTTATGCATTTTTCTTAACAAAATGCTCGGACCCCACTGGGGAGATCCTAGGACCCCCAGTGAGCGGTGATTGACCAGATTTTTTTTTTCCCTTCAATCACTAATCTCTACATGTTTGTGAGGGATGTATGATGGTTGTTCTTAAAATTTGTAATTTAACAGAACAAATAAAAAAAATTCTAACTACTTTTTTACGTAACCATAAAATTATCAAAATTATTAAATAAAAGATATTTTTTGTGTCATTAAAAATTATTAATTGACTCAATAATTTATTAATTTATTTAATATTGCATACAAATCAAAAAACAAGTTTTAAATTAAAATATTAATATGTATAAAATATATAAAAATGTTTCATTTAAATTTTATTTTTTTAAATTTATAGAAAGTTAAGTAATCTACTTCTCTTATAAAAGATAGTACACAAATAATCAATTTAAATAATCTAATTAATTTATATTTTTTCACACAAATTTTTTATTTTAACATTTGACCCGTGTCTTGCATATGACTTTTTTTTACATAGTATATATATATATATATATCACTTGCAGTAATTTATTTTTCTTTTAAATATTTTTGTTAATGTATAAAGTCTGCAGTACGTTTCTAGCCTTCTATATATACTGTTTGATTTATAACATATTTTTGGAGAAATTATAAAAAATTCTCCAAGATTTGACATTTGTAATAAAATAAACCCTAACTTATTAATTTCATCAAATTAAACCTTAAGTTTTTGATTTGTTTTTAATCTAAACATTTGACAATTTTTGTTAAGTAAAACTGACCAAAAAAAATTTTTTTTTAGACATTTACACTAAAAAAAAAATGATATTTTGGACCTTTTATATACACCTATATTGAATTTGATGACTAAAATATCTTTTTTTTAAAATCAATTTTACTTAACAAAAATAATTTGATAATTTAGATTGAAAATAAATCAAAAGAATATGATGTAAATTGATAAAATTTATTTTATTATAAAGATCAAATTATAGATTTTTTTGGTGATAATTTTCCCTATATTTTCTTATTCATAATCATACCAACTGATATCTGCTTCCGTGTCAATCAGGTACAAAACCCATAAAGCAAATATTTCAGGAACATATCTTTTAAGCCTTCGTTAGGCGAGTTGGTTAACTTTTTAATTTTTTAATTATTTTGGGTTAAAAAATCTCATTTGAGAGGTTTTTTTTGATTTTTTTTAACTTTTTTAAATTTTTTGTGAGAGAAAAATGTAATGATTATGGGTTGGATGTGATGTTTTATCTTATTAGGTTAGAATAGTCTATTTTGTCTTATATGGTTATTTTAGCCCCAGCACATCTTACCAAACAAGCCTTAAATCTTATTTTTAAACCCATAAAGCAAATATTTCAGGAACATAAAGATTTGTTTGGTTTGTATCTCTAGATATAATTTTTGAAAAAAAAATTTAAAATTTTATTTTGTTCAAATTTTTTGAAAATAATTTTCAAAATCATTTTTTCTCTCCTATACATCAATCAATTACTTTTTCTCTCTCATTTCTCATTTTCAATTATTTTTTCTCTCACAGACATCTACTCAACTATAACAAAATATCAAATCATTCTAAATTCCAAAATTACTTTCAAAATATACAACTAAGCAAACCAAAATTTTTTCTAAACTCTCTCTCCAATTATTATTATTATTATTTTTTTAAATTTATCTCAAAACACAAACCAAACATATTCTTTTAAATCTTATTTTTATTTTTATTCTACTCTGACCAAACAATACCATATATATATGATTTGGTTTTTTTAAAAACTGTTTTGCCACTTTTTTTTTTTTGTTGTTGTTGTTATATTTATTTATTTTTTACTTTTACATCTAAAAAGTAAAACAAATGGGTAAAATTACAATGACGTCTCCAAATGTTTGCAGAAGATACTATAACCTCACAAATTTGATATAATTATATTATATTAAACTCTATTAAAATTTTAATTTATGTAACACTTAAACATATTTTTATGAGTAATTCGTAGTTATATGGATAGAAAAATAATTATATCATCTCTTTCATACTTAAATGTATATTTTACTTTGTTTTATCTTTATGTTTTCACATTATTTGTATTAATTTTGATTCTTTAAACTTTACTAAAAATGACGTTAGTGTAATTATTTCAAAACAGTTACTACATTTTGTCCAAAATTTAAAGGAGGCCAGTGTAATTTATCCCCAGAAATTGACTACAATATTCAAAATACTAAAGATTAAAAAAAATCAGCATATTACCCTTATTTTATTTTTTTGTGTTTATCGTTAGTGATTCTTTTAAAAAGATTTTGCACAAATATTTTTTTTTAGTTGCATTTAAAAATTTGAAAAAAAAAAAAACTAGAACATGAAAATAATTCACTAAAAACCCCCCGAAATACATAGTTAAAAAATAAAGCAATATTATTCATCCATCCCTATCCTCCAGTTATATCTAAAAAGAAGAAAGAAAGTCAGGAGAATAAGGTCTCGTTTGGAAATATAATATTTTAGTCATTTTTTAATTTTTTAGCTAAAATATGAGATTAAAAAAATTAGTATATTTAGGATGCCTTTTTGAT